TAGAGCATTCTCAGGAGCCAGCGAGGAACCACCGCACCGGCCACCACTGACCCACGGCCACCGTCGTACATCGGTGTCGGATAGAGAGAAGATGACGATATTTGAAGTGTCTCCAAGCCCTGAGCAAGGATCCAAGCCCTCGGCTTTCATCGGCGATCGACCGAGGTACGCTCTCTCTTATCTCTTCTTTTCTTTCTCTCCTTTTTTTGATTTCACTCCTTGCTTTCTCTCTTTTCTATATTTTTTTTACAAACTCCATACCTTTCTCTTTTTTTCTGGTTATAACCGAATCCCCTTTTTCCTCTGTTTTTTCCTTTTCTATTGCCATCTCATTGATCTGTTGATGCCTTTGATATATGTTAAATCCCCTCGGGATTTTAGGTGATTTGTTTTCCATTTTTTATTTGAGGTTTTTGATGTATGTTGTCCTTTGACTGATTGAGGCACTGTTGGAGCAGATGGGAGTAGTCGGCGGTGACAGCATCAGAGACTGGCGGCGGAAACATCATACCCTAGGGTTAGGGTTTCAGAAACCCTAGGGGATCGGGTCAGATCCGGGTCGCTGGGCCGGTTCGGGTCCCTCTCCGAGTCGGGTTAGCAGCGGGTTACTGGATCTGGTTCTGGATTTGCTTGATGGGTGGGCTTGTTGGTTGTAATTTGGGCTGCTGGGTAACTTGTGTTATAGTTGGGCTTGAACTTTAGGCCTACAAAAATGTAAACAAAATAATAATAAATAATAATATAAATAATAATAATAATAACATAATAATAAATAAAAATAAGAAAAAAGACTCGGACAAAAACGGGTGTCTAGACTCCTATTTAACTGAATAAAGGTTGTGGAACTTGCATGAGATTGATAACATTATATCATAAGAAGTTAAAAACTAAATCAAAGGGACCCTATTTCCGGGGCTCAACAGACAAATGCAAGACAAGGTTATTTGAGGACCTTCGAATGATATACAGTTTACGGTGGCCTCGACTTTCAAAGCCATCACGAAAAGGAAATTAATTGTGTGAAGTCGGGACAATGCTCTTTGAATTTGGAGAACAAAGTTTAGCAGAAAATTAGATTTTTTGTTTGGCTTTTGTTATCTAAATAAGTTGAATACAAATGAGGTCCAAATAAAGAAGATGACACAAGACGCAAGTTGCATAAAATGTCGCAACGTTACATAATCGATCGAGCTCATTCTTCGTGAATGCATCATGGCTAAGCAAGTTTGGGTGGACCTGAAAGCTTTCCAAGTGGACGGCCAGTTTAGTATAATGGAGTTTAAAAGTTGGCTAAAGAAAAACTGTAATTCCAACAAGGACAGGGGTAGTGGACAAGTTGGGGAACTATTTTCTCAACCATAATTTGGGGCCTATAGAAGAATAGAAATGACATGGTTTTTTCAAACGCTCAAACGAATCTCGAAATGGTGATTCAGTATGGTATCAAGCTAGCAAAAGAGTCTGTAATGGCGTTTTCAGCAAACCAAAGGCTAGCGATTAAGGAACCTCATTGGGTGCGTTGGATGAAACCACTTGCGGGAAGTTGGACTCTTAACACAGACGGAGCTTTCAAAGCTGAAAGTGATCGTGCAATAGCAGGAGACTTAATCCGATAAAGGTGATTGGATTAGAGGCTTCACGATGCCGATATGGAAAACGGATGTTATGACAGCTAAGCTATGGGAATCCTATCAGGGGTTTATTTCTAAGCTATGGAAAACGGACGTTATGACAGCCAAGCCTATGGAAATCTGACAAGCATCCTTTTAATCGTCAAAATAAAATAATTATCTTCAAATAAAATAAATAAGTAGTATAGTAAAGAGATTCGATCCACATAGACTTGATCCATAGAGACTTAGTAATTTCTTATGCAATTCCGTGTCGATTTTAATCCAAGAAACTGTAATAAAAATAAATAAAAATAAAGGGAGTTGGAATGAATGAGATGAAGAAAATGAAAGTAAAAAAAATAATGATCAAAATAAAATAAATGGAAGCGTAAATAAAGATTAAAAATAATAATGAGAAAATTGTCTCTAGCTAACTTTATTTCAATTTCATTGATCATCGAAATGAATTTTTATTCTGGGATTCATGTCGGTTACAACCTATCATATAACCTATCTTCCCAAGTCTATCTTCGAAAGATGATTCTTAAGTGGATTAACTAAAGCTATTGTCGTTGAAACAATTAGAATTAAGTACTAGAAAAGACAAACTTGAATTATGTTGTCTTGACGAGAATCAAATTCGATCTCGTTTTTCCTTAACGGACCGCCGCTAAGTGTGTTTACAGGAAATCAAATTGCCACATACCGATCCTTCCTCCCAACTATATATTTAAACTACATCCAGGCAACGGGCTCTTTTAGATTTGAAAGTGTTTAAAATTTGTAAGTAAGGTCGATTGCCAAACAAATCAACCAGAAAAATGAGAATGTAACCTAAGGGAATTAAGTGTTGTTCAATTCTCACGCATGTAATTGATTCATTACTAGCTCTCGTCTATAAAGAAATTAGCCAAATAAAAGAAAGTGGAAAGGAAAAAGAAAAAAAACTTTTATGAAAACGAAAACGAAGTAACATATAACATGGAAGTTAAAAAAAAATAATCCTAAAATTTTGGAAGATAATTTCAAATGTTTAAATTCAAACTTAATTTCCTAGAAAATCTCCTCAGATTATGTTGACTGAGCTATTTCTAGAATGCTCCGTGTGCTGACTGGACCTTCTAGAAGCTGCCATGTTAGACCGTGTCGTGTTCAGTGTCATGCCCATGTCTTCAACCGTGATCGGATAATAAAAAAAATCCGAACAACACCCCTTTTCTGATGATTCCAGAAAGTAATCATTTGCACAAAAATAGTTAAAACAAAACTCAAATCAGCAGTAATAAATTCATAAAATGTGAAAATTAACAAGGAAAAAGTTACAATTTAAAACGCGCGTCAAAGTCTTGAAAGGGGATATAATGGAGGAGGGTGTTCATAACGTCTTAGCTAAGGATTACAAGGACATTCTAAGAGAACGATTAGTGAAGTAAGACATGTTTGGCGGGAAGGAAATATATCTGCAAATCGCTTGGCTAATATACTAGAGAAGCAAACAAATGAGCCATCATTCTTATGGAACCTCCAGAGATATCATTCCTCTGTCACGGGTTGATGGTAGAGGAGAAGCAATTCTAAGAAGATAATATTTTGGTTTTAACTTTTCTGATGTACCCAGAAAGGTAGACTAATTCCCAAAATGAAATTACATTTTTTCCCTGAAGATATAAATTGACGAAAAAGAATACAAGTACATGTTTTTCTCAATGACCGTGTAGAACCTTAGTTAAAAGATACTTAATTGAGATTAAGATTATACTTAGTTAAAAGATACTTTATTGAGATTAAGATTATACTTAGTTAAAGGATACTTTATCAGGGGCGGACCCAGGACAAAAATTCAGGGGTTGTACAAAAAAATTCTTATAAATTTTTTTTAGGGGTTACACAATATTAAAGGTGACACTTGTATTAATTAAAACAAATTAGAAAAAATTAACACTAAGTAGACAATTTTGTTGTATAAATTTTTTTCTATAAGAATTTATCTGAAATATAGGGATTCTACCTAAAAATCATAAAATATATATATAAAAAATACTAAAATAATATCATTTGATCAATGTTCCTCACAATTTGAGGGTTGCCCGGGCTACCCCTGGCAACCCCCTGGGTCCGCCCCTGTACTTTATTGAGATTATAATTTGTTAAAGGATACTTTATTGAGCTTACATTTAGTTAAATGACACATTGTAGAACCTTAATAAAAAGACAAAATACTTCATTCAGAAAATATTTTATCTGTAAATTATTTTTATGGTTTTTCAAATATAAAAGATGAACGTGACATATTAAATGGATTAATAAAAATCAATCTATATCATAGAGGGACTAATATGAAATAATTCCTATAATATGGGGATCAAATTAATGTATTAAATAGTATATGGATTAAATTGGTATAGCCCCTATAATTAAGGGACCTGACAGATACTGGATTGAAGCTCGGCGATTTCGCGGGCAAAACATTCTTCGTTCGTCGCCGCCGCCAGATAATCAATTTTCTGACCCAAACCCTTATTCTCTTTGCCTTCAGGTTTAGGACAGAACCAAGAAACTGAAATAAGGTAATTTTTGAAACCCTAAAACTTTGAAGATTGATTTCTACTTGAGTCACGACAGAGAGAGAGGTTTTGTGTTATTTGCTATGTTTGATTTTTTTTCTTCTAATCCTACTACTTGTTACTCCGTTTCAACGATTTTCTTAAACAAAACTATAGCTCATCGGAACTTTGCGGCCGCTTTCCGCCTGCGGAATAGCTGCCGGAAGACCTCTACGCCACCGCTATATGATACCCGCTTCTGATTGAAGAATAAATAATCTACTCTCAATTTATAAAACTTATAATGCAGGTAGAGTGTTGGTTGCTTCATAGGCTTGAGAGCGAAAAAGAGAGGTTCTGTTTCTTTAGTATTGAATGTTATGAGTGAGAAGTTAGTATATTGGAGAATATAGGGATTTATCAAACATTATAACAGAAATGACATGGAAGAGGATTTGGATTTGGAGTTGGACTCGGATTATGAAATGTATATGAGTAATTTAAAACCTGGCTATGATGATAATGTGATTGGGGAATCATCCTCTGTTGAGTATATATCTGGCTCCTGCGGCTGGGTTATGGAGAAAACGAAGAAGGGTCCTTTAGGGATTCGGAAAGCAAGGGAAATTTTAAGAGTGTTTCGCAAAGAGTAAAGACTAAGTTTCCTGGAACTTCTGATGGGGTTTTGACGAAAACAAACACTAGGACGCAAAGATTGGAGTTGAAGGAAGCGATTATAAAGTAAGAAATGCTGCTAGTTGAGAGAGGAGGAGCCTGGTTGATGAGAACAAAATAAGTAGAGAACCTTTTAAGAAGATGAAATCTGGCAAGGACATTTAAAGTTTTAGGTATGAAAGTGATGACAAGAGTATACATCAGACGGATGATGAAGGTGCTTCTGATTTGGAGATACCTGAATTGGATGATGGTCCTTATCATGAAGGACAACATACACCGTTCGTATCATCAAAATGTCATCAATCATTGGTAAACATATTTTCTTTTCATCGTTTTGTTCCATCTATTCTATTATTTTCTCTGCCAAGACGTTTAATAGGCCTTATCTACATGCCATTGGAAGTTTTTTTTTTAAATTGTTATTTTATGATTGTATTTTAATTTTGCATGTTGCTGATCCTTTTACTGTTCTTCTGGTTTTATGTGTGTGTGTGAAGGTTGAGGAAGATAGTTGGGTTGGCAATGGAACTTCTGCTCAGTTTCAGTTTAGGGAGAAGCTTATGGATCTTCTTAAAATTCCCTATGACCAAAATGAGTATGAAAGTCTATGGCAAGAAGTAACTAGCAAAACACCAGTGCAAGGTTATATATTGTCGTAACCGGTTTTCGTCCGGGTACGAAATATTTATTTTGGCGGGAAAATCTATATAAATAAATGGTCTTGAAAATAATTTGGGGAGTCGCCATCGGCCTTTTGGATCAGGTAGGTCGAATACCTAAAAATTATTTTTTAAAAGAGTTTTAAGAAAATTTCAATTGAAAAATTGAACTGATCTGCGTTTATAACCAAAAATTCATTCTTTTTAATAATAAAAAGGGGTTCGTGGTCGGTTACGTTTAGGGAAGGATTAGCACCCCTACAACGCCCAAAATTGGTACTTTTTAATTATAAATTGTCTCTATTATTAAAATTTAAAAATTCAAAAATATATTTAATTTATAATCCTATTATTTCAAAATTATATAAAAAATATTTATTTAAAAAATATCAGAAAAGAACTTCTAGGTGCCTTAAGACAGCTCTTTTCTTTGATATTGATAAATATTAATTTAAATAATATTATTTACTTTTTAATTTCAAAATATCAGAATAGGACATCCAGTTGTATTAAGACTGTCCTTTTCTTCGATATTAAAAATAAATATTTAAAAATTACTATTTATTATATATATATTTATGAATATATAAAAATATTTAACAATATAATAAAATAAAAATAAAAATACTACTAAAACAATATAAATAAAATAAATGAAAACATATAAAATAACTGACTAAATTACAGTAAAAATAAAATTAAAAATCTAATTCATAATTAATCAAAATTATAGGGATTAAATCTGTTATTTATCCTAAATATATTATTTTAATATAAAGGACTAAAATGAGTAAAATTGAAATTCGAAGACTGAATTAAAATTATTATAAATTCGATTTAGTGACTAAAATGTAAAGTTTACAAATTAGGAGGACTGCAGACGGGGTTTAACTATTGTCTAATTACGCGCATAGTCCTTCCCGAAACGACGTCGTTCGGGAAGGACTATAAAAGTCCAAAAACCGGCTGGCCCGAAGGGCCAGCTTCATTTCATCATTTTCCTTCTCTCTCTCTTCTCTGAGAGAGAGAATTTTCTCTCGCTTCTCTCTAAAACAGAGAGAAGCCTAGCCGGCCGGCAACCGTCAGCCGGCGTTCGTCCGCCGCCAACCACCGCCGCCGGCCACCGTCTTCGGTGGCCGGAAATTTTTTTTTACATCGAAACATAGATCGGACCGTCGTAATGACGGTTCCGATGATCTTTTCCTTTAAACAGCTCCCAATCGGAGAAAATCTAAAAAAATACCTTCTGTTTTTTCGAAGGTTTTGGTGAGATCCGGCGATCGGCTTCCTCTGGTAAGGTTCTCTTCTTCCTTTTTCTTTCTTTTCTGTTTCTTTGCTGCGTTTGTTGTTGAGATCGTTGGTAGTATTTTGTATTTTTTTTTTCTCGGTTTTGTCTCTCTGGGATCTGTTCTCTGTCTTTTTCTTTACAGGTTGGGTGATGGCTTTATAGCCATCACCGGTGCTCATCTCGGACCGGTCCGAAGGATAGAGTTCGGTGAGTCACCGGACTTCCAGTGGTGACTCACCATTTGGAAATACGTGTGCGGCTATGGCCAACCTTCTGGTGCCTTCGGTTGGGACGTGGCAGCGGTGGAGGCGGCTGGAGGCAGAGGCGGTGGGAGGCAGAGGCGGCTAGGGATTAGGGTTAGGAAACCCTAACTAAAACCCTAAATGTTTTGGGTTTCAGTTTGGTTTGGGTTTTGGGCCGGTTGATTGGGCTTTGTAATTTAATATTATTTATATATGTATTTAATATATATATTTAATAATAATAATAATGATAATAATAATAATAATAATAATAATTATAATAATAATAATAATAATAATAATTATAATAACAATAATAATAATATTTAATATGGGTAAAAAATTAGTATCTTCAACTGCCCCTCTTTGCTCATTCTTGTGTTAACAAGAATAGGGCAAAGATGAAAAGATAATAAATTTTTTTATCCATTTGGCTTCACTTGATCATAATGGAGATATTGAATAAATTCTTCTCTTTCTTCAGATGAGTTCTTCTCATTATGAACTTTCTGCTGGGGATGATGATCCATCAAATGATGAATTCAAGCAAAAGATTGAACAAGTTCTTCTCATTATGAACTTCTTCTTCCTTCTTCAGATGACGAGTTCTTCTCATTATGAACTCTACCTGGCAATGTTGATCCATCAAATGATGAATTCAAGCAAAATATTGAACAAGTTCTTCTCATTATGAACTTCTTCTTCCTTCTTCAGATGAGTTCTTCTCATTATGAACCTTCTCTGGAAAAGATAATCCATCAATTTGATGAATTCAGAAAAAAGGTTGAACAAATTCTTCTCATTATGAACTTCTTCTTCCTTCTTCAGATGAGTTCTTCTCATTATGAACCTTCTCTGGAAAAGATAATCCATCAATTTGATGAATTCAGAAAAAAGGTTGAACAAATTCTTCTCATTATGAACTTCTTCTTCCTTCTTCAGATGAGTTCTTCTTATTATGAACCTTCTCTGGAAAAGATAATCCATCAATTTGATGAATTCAGGAAAAAGGTTGAACAAATTCTTCTCATTATGAACTTCTTCTTCCTTCTTCAGATGAGTTCTTCTCATTATGAACCTTCTCTGGAAAAGCTGATCCATCAAGTGATAGAATTAGGCAGAAGGTTGAACAAATTCTTCTCATTATGAATTTCTTCTTCCTTCTTCAGATGAGTTCTTCTCATTATGAACCTTCTCTTGGAAAAGATAATCCATCAAGTGATGAATTCAGGTAACAGGTTGAACAAATTCTTCTCATTATGAATTTCTTCTTCCTTCTTCAGATGAGTTCTTCTCATTATGAACCTTCTCTGGAAAAGCTGATCCATCAAGTGATAGAATTAGGCAGAAGGTTGAACAAATTCTTCTCATTATGAATTTCTTCTTCCTTCTTCAGATGAGTTCTTCTCATTATGAACTTTCTCTAGAAATGTCAATCCATCAAGTGATGAATTCAGGTAACAGGTTGAACAAATTCTTCTCATTATGAATTTCTTCTTCCTTCTTCAGATGAGTTCTTCTCATTATGAACCTTCTCTGGAAAAGCTGATCCATCAAGTGATAGAATTAGGCAGAAGGTTGAACAAATTCTTCTCATTATGAATTTCTTCTTCTTTCTTCAGATGAGTTCTTCTCATTATGAACTTTCTCTGGAAATGTCAATCCATCAAATGATAGATTTGAATCTTTGCTAAAATCTTTGAAATTCCTGTTAAAAATTCAACAAGAATAAAAATGAATGAAAATGCATCTATTTTTGCAAATGCCTAAATATGATGCATGAATGTTAAGTTGTTTGATTTCAGATTGGTGAATTGAGTATTTCTTCAATTGTAAAAACCCAATAGATCTTTCTTCTTCAAAACAAAGAATCTATCGTCTTTGACAAATGTAGATGTAGATATAATGTCACAAAACCTCTTGAGAATAAAACTCAATAGTATAGGCTCTTGAAAAGCTTGTATTCAGGCAACATGTTGATTCTGTTAACAATTCATCTGATTATGAAGTGACCTTTCAAGATGATTTCACAGATATCGATAGTTCTTCTAATACCGAGAAATCTTGACTTCTGATTCTGATGAAGAGAATAAACTGTTATACTTGACAAAAATGTGATTCTCAGAGGCTGAAACTTCAAATAGCTTTCTTCCGGTAAAAGATGGGAAGCCATTATGTGATGATCCCAGTTACAAGAAAAGGCAAAACTTGTGCTATGATTTTTGGGAAAGGAATAAGCAAAAGAAGCTTGAAAAGAAACTTCTTAATGAAGACGATCATGCAGTTCATCTTTTAATTCTAATGATTGGTTCTGTAGTTCTTACCAAACCAGATCAGATAACTCAAAGAACACTTCCAGAAGATGCTATGAGCATATTCATCTTCCCAATTCAATGATTGGTTCTGCTAAACCAGATCAGATAACTCAAAGAACACTTCCAGAAGATGCTATTAACAAATTCATCTTCTAAATTCAATGATTGGTTCTGTCCAACCAGATCAAATAACTCAAAGAACACTTCCAGAAGATGCTATTGGCAAATTCATCTTCTAAATTCAATGATTGGTTCTGTCCAACCAGATCAAATAACTCAAAGAACACTTCCAGAAGATGCTATTGGCAAATTCATCTTCTAAATTCAATGATTGTTCTGTCCAACCAGATCAGATAACTCAAAGAACACTTCCAGAAGATGCTATTGGCAAATTCATCTTTCAGTTAATGTTTGGACTAGGATATCACAATACTTATTTGATGTAGAGCCAGAATTTGTAGACTTGAAGCATTTCCATGCTGCTACACTAAAAAAGGCTATATTCTTAATTCTGCCAATTAAGAACAGATTTTCTCTTATTCTGCTTCCTCCATGTGTTGATGCTTTTCCATTGACAAAGAAATGATGGCTTTCATGGGATCCAAGAATAAAGTTGAACTGTTTATAAACATGTACAGGAAGTGCCAAATTGACAGAAAGGATCTGTAAGGCTCTTGAAGCTTATGACAATGAACCACCTTCAAGTGTCCAGAAGTATGTTCTTGATGAGTGTTGAAAATGGAATCTAGTATGGGTTGGAAGGAATAAAGTTGCTCCACTTGAACCTAATGAGGTGGAAATGCTTCTAGGTTTCCTTAAAAACCATACACAAGGATCTGTATAGATACATGTTTCCCAGTGATATCAATGTCTTGTTTCTTTTTGCCGGAATCAATGCTACAAAGGTCGCCTTCTACTGTCTTAGTATATCTTTGAAAACAGATGTGCAAGAATTGAATGGTGATTGGTTGGAGCAACCGTGTAACAATCTTGATGTTCATGGCTTTAAGATGGTGATGATTTGCTTACTTTGTATTCCATGTATTTAAAAGTATTAACATAAAGTGATATTCAGAAATCTTTAAATTATTTCAAAATTATGTTAATTCGATAGAAAAGAATAAATTGAATTTCCAAA